AGCTAACATTGAACTCTTGCGGGATGTCGCTGAACCCAGGAATCTTGTATGTGCCGGGGCCACGTGTCGCAAGGTGGCCGGATTTGCTGTGCCAGAGGGACTCTTCGATGCTGTAGAGTCCTTGTCCCTGAACAAAGGCTCCCTCAACTTGACCGTAGTCGATGGCTGGATTGATTGAACGGCCCACGTCCATTTTTATGTCGGTGCGGAGGACGGTGTGGTCCCCCGTAAGGACGTCCAGTTCAACTTCGGTGCAAGCAACGCCCTAGAAACATATCATAGTTCAGCAATCCACCATTTCTGACAAATAGGGGGTAGGGGGTAAATTAAGTGAGCCATACCTGAGTGAAATAGTAGTACATTGGTTTGACGGTGTCCGGATTATAATTGCCCCATTTATGGCCGATCTTGGGCATCTTCCAAAACCCTGTCGCAACCAAATTCACGCGGTCTCTATATGCAGCATGCGCAATTTGCGAGAGCGGCGCATCCCTACCAAATTTCTCCCAGTACGGTTTGAGACGTTCGTTGAGCTGGTCACACGCATTCTTGACTGCCATGCCATTAAGGTCACTACCAGAAGACGCAGCCGTGGGCGAGGCGTTGGCAATCTGATATGTTGCAGTGTCCTGCGTATAAATGGAGTCTATGGGAGCGTTCAACTCTTGAGCTGCAACCTGGCACATCTTCGTATACAGGCCCTGACCCATTTCCGTTCCACCATGGCTGAGGAGGATCGAGCCATCAGCGTACATTTTCACAGATGCACCCGCCTGGTTGAGATGGATTGCTGTTGCGAATGAGAGGCCGAATTTTGTTGGTACCAGGCAAATACCGCGCTTCTTCCACTTGTTTCGGGCATTGAACTTGGCGATTTGCGCCTTGCGCTCGTCATACTTGGCTTCCTCTCGGACTTGCTCGAGCAACATCGGAACATGCCAATCTTCATCAATCACTTGGTGGAATGGGGTCCGTTGACCTTGTTCGTACAGGTTCTTCCAACGGAGCTCGTCTACTGGCATGTTCAGCCCCTCGGCAATCGTATACATGAAACTTTCAGTGATAAACATGGCCTGTGGTCCGCCAAAGCCTCTAAAAGCAGTGTTTGTAACTGTGTTAGTTTTGCATACCCATCCACGGATATGTGCATTGGGGAAATAATAACAATTGTCAAGATGTGTGCAGCAGCGGTCCATGACAGCTCCGCTCATATCCAGGGACCACCCGGCATTGCCGTAGCAGTCCGCATCAATGGCGACAAGCTTTCCATCGTTCATTACACCAATTTTGTAGCGGCACATAATGGGATTTCGTTGTCCGCTTGTCATCATGTCTTCGTCGCGGTTCAACATAGCTCTCATTGGGCGTCGTTCTTTTTTCGCAGCTATCGCAAGTATAGCAGCTAGCTGAACGCTTCGAGACTCCTTACCACCGAAAGCACCTCCCATCCGTTTGACTCTCGCATTGATACGGTTGCTTGGAACTCCAGTCACGCGGCTGACAAATTCCTGAGTCTCCATTCTGCGGCTTTGTTAGTACCTGAACTGTTATGAATTAAATACAAAGAAAAAAAAAAAAATACTTACGTATTTTGAGTTGAGGACCAAACATCCATTGTACCATCCTCAGCATGAGGGACAACCAAGGCAGCATTTGTCTCTAAGTAAAAGTGCTCTTGCCCTCCACATCTAATCGTTCCCTCGAAAATTCTGTCGCACTTGGCGAATACCTCCGCCATTTTCTCGGGTGGTGCACCTTTCCGAAGTTCCTTTCCATGCTTGAAGAAGCTCTTCGCTTCGATGGCTTCATCAATGGTCAAGATAGCCGGTAAATCCTCATAAACCACCTTAACAGCTCGTGCTGCAGCTTGTGCTTTAAGGGCTGTCTCGGCATATACCATTCCAATTGGCTGACCATGTGAGTGCACCTCGTCGAGCGCGAAAAAAGGTTCATCCTTGACAATAGATCCCCAAAAGTTCATTTCGGGATCAACGCTATGTTTGTCTACGTACCCAACTGCTAAGTCCGGAGCAAGAGCTGTAGTCCAGTCCACTGATATGATCTTTGCGTGGGCCCTTTCTGAAAGAACAAGTGCACCGTAAAGCTCATTTTCTTGATACGGCATGTCATCAACATATTCTGCCTCGCCAGTAGCGTGCTTCAAGCCAGAAAGATGGGGGATCTGCTTGCCAACAACGCGTTGTTCATGGGGGTTATAATTATCCCTGGTCCCGATGGAGATATTTCGGTGTATTTCCTCAACAAGTGCCTGGTCCACTTCTGCGAGCTCAAAATCGGCATTCACCTCGTGCCAGAATCGGAAGAAAAGCGACAAAGCTAGCGTCCTACGATAAGCCGCCATACCTCCCGGGACGTCATAGGGAAGCGGGAAATCCTCGAGCAACGTTTGAAGTGCTCCATCGAGGGTTTCCGCTACGGACCACTTTTTCCCTATCAAGTATCTGATTGTTTTAGGAGCCAGAACAGTCATTGGCGCCATCCCGCCATACGCCAATGAGACATCTTTAACGGTATCTCCTTCATCAAATCGAACCCTGAAACCTGCCGTGACAATGGCAATGTCGTCATCCTTTCGCTTGGCTTGTTTGTATGATTTGGTCACTTCGCGAACATCTGCAGGGGGAATAGGGACGCGAATTTGAGTGATGATTCCCCCTTGGGGTAGTGCAGTTTTCCGATATCCACGGAACATGGTTACCATTGGAATCGAATGCTCCTTCTCCGCTGTCTTGGCCACTACAGTTGCATTTATAGCCAAAAGTACTGGGTTCATATCTGATATAGGGGAAGCCGTAGCAATATTTCCAGCTAGTGATGCCACATTTCGAATCTGGCGCCCAGCAAAGTATCTGAGGACCTTCGCCATAGCACTGAAGACAGACCCTCTTCGGCCCAGTTTTGAGGATAGATCATAGCAAAGATTTTCAATATCGGTCAATGGCGCATTCCCACCAATAACAAGTTCCTTCGCCTTTGATAAATCAGCGGGAATCGATATTGTGTTCATCTCCTCGATGTCCGAAACAAAGACAGAAACAGCAAACTCTGAGCCTTTAAAGCGGATCTCAACTTGGATTTCGCTCGCACCGCTGACAATGGTTGCAGATGGGAATGTAGCCATGATGTCAACTAATTGCTGTAAATTCGTTGGGCGGAGCCATATTTTCTTCTCGTCGCCATAACATAGGGGCTGGTCGACAAACTTCGATAGTGCAGGTGGGTAGATCAACTCTGCTGAGGGAGTATACTCGGCAAGCTCAATCTGGGGTTCTTTTTTATACGCCGGAAGTGTGATTTCTTCGGAAAGACTAGTCTCAGAGCTATTGTCGTCTACAGAAGTGGAGCCAAGCGATGTGGAGGGATCCGATGCAGGGGATTCCTTACTTGGCTTATCGCGGCAACATCCCCCAGGTCTTCCGCATGAGCCACTTGAGGATTTCGAAGCTTTATCAAACTGGCCTTGTAGATACGTCGCTGCCTCATGTTCGGTATCCTTCTCAGCATCGACTGGAAGAGAGTTCTTGCCTTCGACCAGCTGCCCTTTAAGGTCCTCAACAATGAAAGTCCTAGCGGCTTGTAGAATGGGCTTGTAACCCGTACACCGACATAGGTTTCCATCCAGATGGCCTTTCATTTCAATATCGTTTTCTGATAGAGAAAATTTGCCGGTTTCCGGGTCATAAGCATTTCTAATAATGGAGTACAGGGACATAACTATGCCGGGTGTACAAAATCCACATCTGCATTGAATGCATATTTAGCATAAAACATACACGACCCCTTTCCGAAAGGTAAGATATGACATACTGTGACCCATGAAGCTTACCCATCCGTTCCTGCAACGGGTGAGGCTTATCAACACTCCCAAGCCCTTCCACGGTAATGACATGTTTCCCGACAACTAGAGTAACAACCTGGTTAAACACAAAAAGACAACAGTCCCTTGATATACCAGAGTGAAATTAGAATTTATAAGTAAGAAAAGCGCGAACTCACCTCCCACTAGCGGGAACAGACAAGCATTTACAGACAGGTGCTTGATTCTTCTTAGGTTTTTGGCGTCTCTTACTTGTAGCACCACCGTGCAAGCGCCACAGCCGCCCTCTCCACATCCCAACTTTGTTCCTTTCAAACCACGCCGTGATCTGATAAAGTCCAACAGAGTCCAGTGCGGGTTAGGGTTTCTCAACTCAACCTTGGCCCCGTTGAGATAGAACTGCAGGACTGAGGTGGTATATGTGGATTTGACAAGTGCCTGCAGTGCTTCGTCGGAGGGGATGGAAGCCGCCTCCGAGTTTGGTACGGGGAGACCCATGATGAATGGAAGAAGTTATAGTGTGATAATAGGAGATACGAGCAGAGCTACAGGACGGGGGAATATGGGGCGTTTAAAGTGTTTCGTTGCATGATATATAAAAAAACAGGCCCTTTTGGAATGACAGCCAAGGAACGTGAGAGTTGCCGCCAGAGATTCAAAAATGTTATAGTCCGCTCCTCCGTTCGCCGCGCTGTGATAGGGCGCAGGACACTTACACAGGAAGTATGGAGTTTTCTAACTTGAGACAGACAAGATGACAGTCCAGAGCCAGATGCAACGAGTCAGGATGGATCAATTTGTCATGACACGACCTAGATGTACATGTATATGTACATACATATGTATGTAGAGTATGCGCTGCATGGATGTAGTTATATAACCTTACCAGTTTGATATTTTTGGTATTTTTGTTTCCCCGCCTTGCCCCTCCTCCCAAACTTCTTGACGCTCTAGGGTAATAAATAATACGCGTGTTTCTTACGTATTGTATGAAACAATGGTCTTTGTCTCGGGCGTACGGTACGGTAACACAATATCGGTATAATAACTCTGTCCAAAAGTGGGGGTTCACCCCCAACTCAGCAATTTAGGGTTTGGGGCTAGGGCTTAGGGCAGCCTCATCCAGCCTCGGATCAGGAACGACAAACTCTAGTCAGACGTTTTTCTCTCTCTCTATAGATCTCAACAGCTCTCCTGGGAATAAATCTGCCGCATGTGAAATATAATATCATCAATAGAGAGAGAGAGAGAGCTTATGACTGCTGCCTCTCTGAGCTGCTCCGCTGAATATATTACTTCTCAAATCGCTTGCTTAAAAACGGCCTCTTCTAGCTCCAAGCCGCCACTACCGAGCTTGCTCCTGCGCGTGGGGCATTTAACTACGCTACTCCCGCGCTGAGTTGCTCTAATCCGTATAAAAATGGAGCCGTGGCCATGGTCGCCGCCATCCTTTTACCCTGTTGAAAGCCCGCTCTTGGAGAGTTGTGGGGAATCATGTTGGCGAATCCACCAGGCAATGGACGGAGCAAGAGAGGGGCGCAATGGTCCTCCCACCTTACGCATGCGGCGGCTTGGAAGAGCGCTCGATGCTTGAGGATCCAAAGCACCAGGAATGGCGTGGGAATGGGTTTTCTCAGGACAGAATGAGGAAAAGAAGTGGAAAAAGCAAGAAGATTGTCAAAAGTCCCGAGTATTAAAACTTGGGTGTTCTAATTGAGAGTGCTCGTACACTTCCATTTTCCGCTCCAACATCAAACTCCTTCTTCCTTTCTTTCCTTCCTCTTCTATTGTTAAACGTCTCTGGAAGAAGAAATAGAAAAAAAATCAAAAGAAGTTATCCTTATCTTTTCAGTTTCCATCTAGCTCCCATACCTACATACTCCGCTTGAACAATGGCCTCCTTCTTACCTCTCGCAGACTCTGCTCTGTTCACACCCCTTCAGCTCGGCGCCCTTCAGTTGGAGCATCGAGTTGTCCTTGCGCCGCTCACCCGCATGCGAGCTTCCAAAGAGTCTGAGGGTGTCTACGTTCCTAATGATCTGAATGTACAATATTACTCAGAGAGAGCCACAAAAGGTGGCTTCCTATTAACGGAAGCTACTCCAATCAGCCGATATGTAAGCTTTAACCTAGAGATGACAAAAGAAAGAAAGAGAAAAAAAGAAAAAGAAAATCAACAAACGAGCTTCAATCAATAACTCACCTTCCCCACTATACTCGTCCCTATACCGATTGCTAACCAGTCTCCAACAAACAGGCCGCCGGCTACCCTGGTGTACCTGGCATTTTCACCCCATCGCAAATCGCCGGCTGGAAAAGAGTCACGGACGCCGTCCACGCCAAAGGCGCCTTCATTTACTGCCAACTCTGGCACGTAGGGCGGGCCACCGTCCCCTCATTCCTCGACGGCAAATCCCCCGTCAGTGCCTCCAACATCCCCATCTCGGGCGATGCGCTGGACGGCTCGAAATATGCCGACTCGGCCCCCACCCCCCTAACAGTTGAAGAGATTCAGGAGCTTCTGGTAGAGTACGCTGCAGCGGCCAAGAGGGCGCTGGAAGCTGGATTCGATGGCGTAGAGATTCATGGTTAGTTTTTCAGTGCCTCTCTTTTTTTTCCCCTGGAGACATATGTAATAGTACACCCTTCTAACCCTAACTCTGCAGGAGCAAATGGCTACCTCCTCGATCAATTCCTGCACGACAACGTCAACATCCGCACGGATGCCTACGGCGGCAGGATCGCCAACCGCTCCCGCTTCCCGCTCGAAGTCATCCGGTCCGTGACAGCCGCCATCGGCGCCGAACACGTCGGCATCCGCCTCTCCCCTTACAACTACTTCCAGGACACCCGCGACTCGGACCCCAACCCGCACTGGGTGTATCTGTGTGAGCAGATCGCCGCGCTGCCGCAGGAAAACCGCCCTGCCTATGTGCACATGGTCGAGCCGCGGTTCGACGAGGTGCTAGATGAGGAGGCGAAGCTGGCTGCGTTAGCCGCGACGACCAACGGGGATCCAAAGGAGAAGGTGCCGTCGAAGGATTACTCGCTCGACCATTTCCGCAAGCCGTTGAAGAAGGGTGGTGTTGCGCTGCTGGCTGCGGGTAACTTTAAGCGGGAGAATTGCGTGGCGAAGATCAAGGCGGATGGGGCGGATGCGATTGTGTTTGGGCGGTGGTTTTTGGCCAATCCGGACTTCGTGAGGAGGTTGCGGGAGGGGTTGGCGCTTAATAAGTATGATCGGACGACGTTCTATGGGGCCACGCCGCCCTCGAAGGGGTATACAGATTATCCATCTCTCTATAAGCGGGAGGGGTTGGAGGGGAGTGGCTGAGTTAGTGGAACCAATTAGTTAGGCGTTAGTTTGTCGATGTATACATCCTTAGATCTACATGAAACGAATAGATTTCCATAAATATATTAATTTTGCAATTGTGCTTGATCTAACTGTCACATGCTCGTTATGTATTAGAATTTCAAAGCTATGATAGTTACAACTCACAATAAACGGACAGTTTATCGTAATAACACGACGTCACGGCGGACCATGGCAGGCTTCCCAACACAAAGCAACAAACAACCCACCTCTTTCTCTACCTCTTGACGTCCCCAGAGCCAGAACCCTCTGTGCATAATGGGAACCGGTTTCAATAACATTTATAACATTTATAACATTTACCGCCTTTACGGGGATCTCATTGACAAAACATAACACAGTACGTACAAGAAGTGGCCTAAGAACAACATAAACGCAGAGTATACCATCATATAAACCAGTCATATTTTGTAACATAGCCGAAAACAATAGTTAACCGGGAAAAATAAAATTATATAAAATGTATGGATAGCGATCCATTCATCAAGCTAAACCATCCCGAAATCAACAAAAGCCATACCTCCCACACATCGAAAAACGCCATTCGTAAAACTTCCACGACTGGGTCGGCTGCAAATTTATTCCGCCCAGAAGCCAGTACGTCCCATATATAATAGAAGATGTGCAAAAACTTAAGAAATATACCACCGCCCTTGCCGCAAAAGCCCAAAACCCTGGGAATATTTCGAATAGAAGTCAAAGGGAAAAAGGCAGTAGAAGAAGAAAAATCAGCAATCTCTCGCTGATCCTGCGTTCTCATACAATACCAATATCGGGGCGACGGAAGGAGGAACCAAAAAAGAAATGCCCCCTTCTTCTCGTATCCACCAACCCTCCCATCCCTACCTACTCGATAAACTCACCAAAACCTTCATCGCATCATGCACCACAGCCCACCGCACACTAGCTAGCTGCTGGCTCATGATGGATGTCAAACCCACCGTGTCAAACTTTCCCGCCAGCGCAGAGAGTTCCTCGAGCGTGTTACACGTCGTCATAGCGACGACGAGTGTGGTCAATTGGTTTCGCGGGGTTAGGGAGTTAGCGTTCGAGCTGCGCGGAGCAGGGTTTGGAGATTGTTGTTGGTACTCTTGCTCACTGTTATTATTGTTATTTTTATTATTGGGATTTCTGTCCAACGCTGTGGAGGTGGAGGAGGAGGAGGTGGGGAGATGAAAAGCCCAGCACGTCAGTGTCGCCAGGTACAAGCACCAGGGGTAATGGAAGACATCCGTCTCGTCCCAGTCGTTCAGGTTCATAATCGCATCCTGAAGAATGTATGAAGCATGCTTCGTCGCCTTTGCAGCGGAGCGCGGGTCCTCGTTTAACCAGCGCGTGACGACCCGCTGCGAGCGCTCGAAGTCGCCCGCCGTCACCACCTGGCCCAGAATATGTGGTGCGCCCGCATATATCTGCAGATCGAGCACTTCGACATTCAGCGTGATGTGCGCGGCGTGGTACATGACGTGAGTTGCTGTTTTGAGACCGACGAATTTGCGCGGGTTGGAGGTCTGGTTTAGTTTCATGTTCATGCAGTCTGCGTCGAAATCGTTTTTCCACAGGTCGTAGGAGCGACTGATGCGGGCTTTCCAGGCGCCCACTAGGTTAGGTGTTTCTGAGCGAAGAGTGGTTTGGTCGCGCCGTTTGAGGTCGGAGGATATGGACATGAGGCCGTGCAGGAGGAAAATCCTGGATAGGGCGTTCAGGTGTCGTGGGCGGCGGGTGGTGTTGGGGATTATGTATGCTTTCAGGACAGGAAGAAACGCACTGTGTGATGTCTCTACGCGTGCGTGCTCGAACCATGCATCTGCAGTATTTGCCTCCCATGTAGCCTCGTCGCAAGGTAAGGAGGCTCGGATTTCAAACGCCGACATGCAAAGGGATTGTGAAAAGAGCACCGCATGCTGAGTATCCCACATGAAGCAAAGCATGGCGAGCCGTTTCCTCTGCTCCAGGTCCATTGCCTGCCTCCACGCTACGTCGAGGTTGTCCGGCCGCTCAACAGGTGGAGATGTCCGAATGATAGGGCAATTGCTCCGTCTAATGAGTTTGATAAGGACACAGTGGAATAACTGGGACATATCACGCTGTTTCTGGCCGGCTCGCTGTTTCCCAAAGCAATCGATCAACATCATGGCCTAGAGGACCCAGAGATCAGGCTGCGATTAGAACGATTGATGGGAAAAAAGTTGATTCCGTAACGAGTCATGCATTGCGACGGCCAGTTGGTGTGCTTCTCTATTGCTGTAGGTGGCTCCCATTGATATGATGGCAGCAAGCAGCAATGTGTCAACTCGGCCTGGATCACACGTGGGTTGATGGATTAGTGGATAGGAAACATTGAGTTTCGTGAAGAAGAGGTCACAGTACGTTTGCAGTGCGTTGATGGAGAGAAGAGGGGATGAGAGCTCAATTCGGTTTCCTTCTACAGTTATGGATTGTAATTGTGATATAAGCCGTAATAATCTCGTTCTGGCAGCTTCGGGTATTTGGGGTAGCTTTTTAGGTACAACTTCTGTAGGACTTTGGCCCATCCAATCCATATCGGTGAAAGCAGACAGTGGGATTTGGTTGGAAGTATCAGGAGTCGACATGGAGCTCTGGGCGGGTTGTGGGGAGGGTTCGCTAGGATTAACGGGTAATTCTTCACCAGTAGAAGTATCTCCGGGAGGCTGGATATGCGAATCCGGGGAAATTCTGTTGGATTCATCATGTGGCGCATGTTCTTGATAGTCTCGCTCTCTTGCTGGTTCTGATGAAGAGAAGGTTTGGCCGAGGAATTCGTTATGACGGTGTTGAGGCTGTGACCACATATCGGGCACCGGTTCAGCGAAGTTGACCATATCCATAGCCAGCGACATACCATTATGGTTAAAGGCGTCATCCAGGGATGGCACGTCGAAGAGCCAATTGTAATTATGGGTAGCAGCAAAGGGCATGTTAAAGGAGGTGGCTACAGACTCAAAAAGACGCTGTATTAGAATTTGACAATCACGGGAATTGCATCTCTCCATTTTTGCCCTGGAGGGGACATCCTATTTCGAACCTAGGTAACAATACATCACCACCCTTTTCGAACGAGAGACAGATACATACCAGTATCGAAGTCAAAGAAATCCTCGTAGTCTAGACCAAGTCCCGAATCCTGATTCCGCCACGAGCCATCTGCAGCATCAAACTGGCCGGGAATAGGCTCCACGTACGGCTCGTAGGGATGTAGGGACTCCCAGGCACCATAGGCGCTATCAGCGGATCAGAATGATCAACCGGATCGCAATTATCCAGTGGGCCACTGTCCAAATTGACACTCGGACACGAAGGATGCGCAGATGTGGGTGGGGAGATAGGAGCTCCAGAGCCAGCACCATGATCCTGACCGTGATAGCTTAGATCCACCATAGATGGCGGCGTGGTCAGAGCTGAACTGCTATCTTGATTGTGGCTGCTCCCGTGGGAGCTGACACTATTGTCATTAAAGCTCCGGATAGAAGACGACGACGAGGACGACGAGGGCGAAGACGAATTTGCAACCTCATCGAATGGAACTGACGAGGTTGCAGCGGCCATAGACCGGGCTAGCATAGCTGCACGAGCTTGCTTTTTGGTCGGCTTTGTGATGATAGTCCCGTCAGGCCCGCGGCGGGTTCTTTTGCGGGTTTCAAGCACACCCAGGCCAGGACCACCCGCCTCCTCGTCTCTCTTTGCATGGCGCACCATGTGTCTTCCTATTTGGACGGGAGTGTTAATGTTCGGCAAAGCCAACCAGAAAAATCTGAGCAAAACAAGGGGGTGATTGGACAGATTATTGTAGAATAGCAGGCAGAAGCCGGACTGAAATACCTAGTAAATCAGGCCTGTTGAAATGGACACCACATCTCTCACAGGTGTTGTCTTCGTTCTTGTGGTTCAGTGCGTGCCGGCGAAGATGCTCTGCGCGTGTAAAGCGCTTGCTACAGCCAGGGTACGAGCAGACATGAGTTTTCTCTGGCGGTGGTTTCCCAGGCTGAACTGAGCATGATGACGGCACGGTGTCCACTTGAGGCATTGCAATTAGAGGAGAGAAAAGTCGGAGATAACAAGGAAATATAGTCTACGCTATTAATTCTCATTCAGTAGGAGAGATCTCAAGCTCCCACTTTGATTGCATAAGTGCATTGATGAAAGATGGGGAGAGTAGCAAGGCTTGGACGAGTAGGGGGGCAAGAAAGGAAGAGGAGGAAGAAAGTGGAGGAAGATCGAAAAAAGCTGGAGAAGATACGTTTAAGAGCTGGCCCCTCCTTAGACTCAGTAACCTGATCCTAGCTTCTATCCATTATTATTATATCATGTATCTCTCCATCTCCAGATCTCTCTAACCACCGTCCAGTTCGCAGTCATGGACCCTGTTTGTTTGGCGGCATATGAGCGATGCGTAAAGTTTGTACGGAGTACTGTAACGTTTCTAAGCCCGTATGCCCCGTATTTCCCGTATGGTTCATGGTCGGCCGATACCGTAATTCTCGTATGTAATGTACAGTATATGTACCGTACCGCTAAAACCCGAGAGAGCAAACCAGACTGTTTGAGAGCCTCGGGGTAGTTCTTTAACCAATACCTCACCCAGCCAGCCGTTAGTGGTTAGTGGGAACTAACAGGCTAGCAAAGGCTAATACTGCCTAAAAGCCCCCCCACCTCATACGCTAGCTGGGCACTAACTTCCCGCTAAGCGGCCCAGGGCCCTTTGGTCGGGTCCCGTCCGTTGCACCGAAGGACCACTCCCGGTTATTCTTTTTCCCATTGCCGAGCCGGTGATTGTCTGGTATTTTTCTCGTTCATTTTCGTTTCTTTTTTATATACTCTGTATGTATATATTTGGAAACGCTGAGCACAGCACGACGAAGCAGCAAGGATCCAAGGACCATCCAGTTCTCGCAAAACGGATTCGCCTCAATTTCCCCGCAGTCAGAACCAGATTCAGGGGCCGCTACCTTGTGAAGCGGCTGGCAGCATGATAGGATAGTTAACTGAAAGCGGCCTGGTGGAGACAATTTTCAAAGGAGTGGTTCACTCCACAGATTTATGTGGAAACAATTTGCCTCTCTCTGCTCTTTGGTGCAGTTTAAGTATCTGGTAAGTGGTTGACATCTTCTGCTGCACAGGTGCAGCAGGGTTGAGATATAGCTAGGTATGTGGAAGGGCTGCCCTGGCATGGTCAGTTATGCCGAATTAAACAATCAACGACAATGTAATGTATTGAACGGGGAACCAAAAATGCATCTTTTGGTAGACCCATTGTTATCACGATGATTAATGTATTCCTTATCATGGATCAGGGGAATTTAGTTAACTCTGGTTTATGTATGAGAAGTTAATCCGTCCTCGTACTCGCTCTAAAATCCATTCAGAGGTTCGGATGTTGAGGCTAAACTCGCCCACCCCCATCCTTGCTCTTTGTCCCTCCCCCCCCCACTCCTGGCATCATGAACTGTATGATATCCGCAATAATATCTCGCCCAACTGCGAACGGATTTCCAGGAGCCGAACCAACTGGCGACTACTGCACATTGCAACAGCATCATTGGCTTGTGGACTTGTTGGAGAATTCGCGACAAGATGCATGTCAACTGTCCGAATGGCCTCCAAAAATATCCGGCAGTCAAGGAATGGAAAAAAGAAAGAACGATGTTCATACAGCATCCGGGAAGTCAGAACATGTGGGACGAAATGAGGAACTGCTCCTTTTACATTGCTCCCATTGTTGCTTCGTACATTCCAGATGTCATTTTCCGTGGCTCAGGGGCGCAACAGGTCTTCCCTTACAGTAAGACGGGTATGGGATGAATAAAATTGATCAAGAGAGAGGAAAATGGGGGGGGTTTCAAATGGAAGGTTAAAAAAGCAGCCTTGCGCACATTGAGCATTAATCTGATGAACAACACCTACTCGCAAAACCCCAAGTCTTGATCAACGAACTACCCAGCAGCAACGGCAACTACTACACGCATCTGAGGTTTACAACCCTCTCAGTATCGATCGCATAATGCCATCCGCGACAGGCAGCCTCTCGGTCATCGACATTGCGTGACGCGCACTTGCAGGCAAGCGATGCACCCAATTTATCAGAGAAGCGGATTATACGGCGTGGCATCGGTCGCGTCCTGTTCTAGCGGTTGTCCAACACGAAGAACCTTGCAGAAACTCCAGTTGCGCTTATCAGATTAGCTACAGTTCCGTTCGGGCCATGCTCTTGAACCGAGATGGATATTTTTTGTTTCCTCGACCCTAGGAAGTATACGGAGTATGCCTCTAGCAAACATGGCCAGACACAGGAGTTTAATCCACAACAGACAGGAGATATATGTATATAAAGAAAGAAAAAAGAAATATCTTAGCAAAATTCCCGTTGAAACCAAGTTATTTAATAATTATAGATATAAATCTTACGAATATATGTGTACATGTACCAAAACCTCAGTTGTTAGCCAGCCAAAGTTTCTGTGGTTGCGGCTCCCCGATGCAAATTATTCTAGCAGAGCCTCAACTTTAGCTTCATTCAACCTCTCCGAGAGTTATAGCTCAAGTTTATATATTTTACATACACACAACTCTCATTCTCTTTTCCCATCCTTTATTATACTTATCCCCGTCGTATACAAGCATCCATTCCTACCTAATACCTATTCCGCTACTCTCATGCTTGGCTCCCGCAGCACATAACCCACCTAAATAGCTCCGCCCTAAATAGTATCACAAATTATGAACTAACAATGCATCCCACAATGAACAACACTCACTTTAAACATAACCTATTCATTGCATACAAATCTGCCGTTAAACACCGCGGATATAAAAAATAATAAATAAATAAATGACAATGTCCTCTTCCCGCCACCACCCCACGCGCCATCCGCATCAATCTCGCATCCCCTCCGCATCTGCATCCAGCACAACCGCCCCCGCCGCCGCAGCAACCACAACATCCCGCCGCTCAGTCTCTACCTCCTCCGCCACTACAGCCACAACTACAGCAAGAGTTCCCGCCGCCCCTACACGCTCCAACACTCACACCGCCATTACTGCTACCAGCAGCGGCAGCAGAACCAACGCCGCGCCCACAACAATGCCATCCGTCCGGCGCAACCTCTTCCACCATCACCACCTAAGCCGTCGCCCCGCCTCATCTGCTTCCACCGCAACACATAGCTCCGCATCGACTGTACATCCCTCCAGTGCCAATGCCAATGTCGGTACAAATACCAGTACCAACCCCCCCACAGCACCCGGCGCAGGTGCTCCGAACGCCCTCAACCCGGTCCCGACGATTTCCCTCTCGGTCCCACACGGACATGGGCATGGACATGGGTACGGATATGGGAATACGCATGCACAACAAATACCCCATTCCTCCTCGTCCTCCTCGTTAGATAACGGCGAGATCGTAGCCCGCGATAAGAACGGCGGGTACAAGGTTGATGTGCCAGTGTTGCCGGTAGGGATGTGGGAGGATGAATGCGAGGAAGGGGGAGGTGGGATGGATGTGGAGATTGGGGGTGGGGGAGGAGGCGGTAATGGGATTGGTGTGGGAGGTGTGGGAGGTGTGGGCGGGACGGGGGATATTGGGGGTAGGGAGAAGGAGAGTATGTTTTTCTTCCACATTTCTTTTTTTGCCTTTTCTGATATATTTTTCGGGTGTGAGTTCTCTAGCTAATGGTATCAATGCGGTATTTAATAGAAATTGAGGCGAGTATTGTGGAGATGATGTGTCGGAATCGCAGTAGACAGCTGCACAGTGAGCCTCCAGGTAAGCTTTCTTTTTCTTTCGTTTCTTACCGACTTTTATACATAAGTATAGGCCACGACTGGAGCATGATATACCTCCTGGAAGGTCCCCTTTGCTAACGCGCTTTATAACAGAAATCTTCCTCCTTATACAGCAGAGCCTACGGAATAAGGCCGCCTCGCTGGACGAGGACGCTTGGATGTACGAGGTCGAAGATGAAATTCGTGTCTAGGTCATTCATTACATAAATTTGTGAACTATACGCGAGCCATGGGCTATTCCCTGTGGTAGCTTTATACCATGAATTTCCCGACGAGCAAACGTGCTACAACCCCCTCTTAATCAAGATCCATCGACGGCGGCGCCTCCACTCTCCCTGCGGTCTTCTGCTGTCGAGCAGGTTTTGCGCCGGCTCTACCACCAGCGCCTCCACCTCCAAACATCATCCCCATCATATCCATAAGCGGATTAGACTGCTTCGGAATCTTGATTCCAAAGTATAACTCGCCAATATATGCCAACGCCCTCTCCCATCCGTCCACTTCCCGTATATGCATCCCATACTGCCTGGTCAACTGCCTGAATAAATCCGCCGTGCCGCGCTGGATCGCTAGCAGTAGTAGACTTGTGAAATTCAAAAGGGGCAGGGAAGGGTAGACGCGCACGTCTGCGCTCTGGCTGCTGACTTGTTGGATGTTTAGGGCTTGGCTGGTTCCTGAGGACGAGAGGCGGCTGGTGAAGATTAGGAAGGCTTTGTTGGCGTCGCGTAGGTTACCCGTGAGGAGGTAGGGGAAGACAGCGCGGGAGGCGTAGATGCCTGCTGTGTGGGGCTCGTCGTGTGTGTACCAGTCATACTCGAGGCGGGCGAGGACCTCAGCGGAGTCTGCAGTGCCAATGGCTAGGTGTCGCTCAGCGTCGTAGGGCTCGTTTTCTGGAGGGGATAGCAATGGGTCAGCAAATTCGAATAAGCCATATAAAGAAAGCCACTTTCATAGCTTGGAAAGAATAACGAATGGTTATTTCCCAGGCATATCCTATGTCTACCAAAGGGAGGGGAGGTCGGTCCAGTTAAATATAGAACTCACCCTGCGCAAACAACGACCCAATTTCATGATGTATCTCTGGATCCCCTCTCTCCAACTCTCCAAACCGCGCGCTCCACGCAACCAGCTCATTCATATATCTCTTTCTCGTAGGCTCCTCCGGCGGGAAGTCGCGCAGCAGCTCAATCAGCCGCTCTATCGTTTGAAGTTTAAACCCGTCAGTAAATTAAAAACCACATATCCACATCCACACGTGCGTACACCCTTCTACAGCCCTGCTCAATAAACTCAAGGATCAAAAAGTAAAGCGAAAGGGCACATACTCTTCCTCCCCCTCCCCACTTCATCCCGGCCCACTTCCCACTCCGCCTTATTATACACATCGATAATCAACATAATCGCCAAATCACCGCCTGACGCAGATGCGCCAGGGGCCCTCAGGAGAGCCTTTGCACCTCCTGCTAGGATATCGGCGGCGGCATCGTAGTTCTGCTGCTTGAGGTAGCGGGCAGCAATGACGCGGAGTTGTTGGTGGGATTCGTAGTAGGCGCCTGCGGCGATTCTGGAGGTAGTTTAGGATGTGGTTAGATTTGGTTTTGTTTTTCTTTATTTCCTTTTATTTTGTAAGGGGCCTAGTAGTTATTTACTTCTCTTGCTGTCGGGCTATGGTCTTTTCGATTCGGGACGTCATGGTCGTTTCGGTGAGGGTGGGATAGCGTGTGTGGATGGAGGGGTTTCGAGGGATGTCGATATGTGTGGTGTATGAATTTAGACAGGTCTGAGAGTGTGGAACGAAAACAGCACTACAGTAGAGCATCCATCATCAGAGAGAAGAGGGCTGGTTCAGGTGTTGGTTGAGCATATTTTAAATATATATGTATATTGAATAGCTAGCTCTATGAGGAGAGTGGAGGCTGAAGCTGGCGGAGAGGAGGATATTTAAAATATTTAAGCTTTCTCAGCTGGGAACAACCAAACATCAAACATCACTAACAATTAAATAAATGTCCATCCCACAAGCAAGGATTTATCCGCAGCACACTTTGAACAAATAAAAATCTACTGCTGTTTTCCAATAGATATGGCCTTGATATAAAAGACCAATTCCAATTCCACTCCGTATCCCATACCTCCATATCATATCCAACGTTGCGCCGACACCACCAACTCCATGAACTCCCAAATCTTTGATATCCAGCCCGTTGAACGCTTCGCCGGGTTCAATGCGGCCATCCGCAGGCCAAAAGCAAGTCCTCTGAGCTCGAAAATATCAAAACAAACTGTCCAATCTAACGCCCATCTTCAGGAAATCGCCTACTTCTCCTACGACGACCAGCACAACTTCCACCTCGACGAGTCCTCCCTGCGCTACTATTACACTCCACGCCTACCGGCTGATCTAAATAAGGGCTTCGATACGTTTGAGCAGCTCGATGACACGGGCGATGAGCACCTAGATGCCCTTCTGGATACGATAATTGATATGGAGAAGAAAACCGGCACGCAATGTGAGGCGGATATCATTACGTGGAGGGGGATGATGACAAAGGTGTGTTTTTTATACCCTCTCTACTTTTCTCCCCTCTTCTCTAGAGTTTTCCTTTTGTTTTTATATATCATTTTCGCACCTATATATTCTTTTGGAAAGAAGTTCCGGTCTGGACTGTGACTCAATTCAATTCCATGTTACCTGGGTCCGGAGCAAGATGGGCTGATGGGTTCAGCAAAGATAATGACAGCGCCGTTTGATAATATGAACGGGTACTGATTGTCCATGTATTATCTGTGTCTATTATGAAAGAAGCAAATGATGATTAAAGGGTTTAAGTTTTGGGACTGAAGGTGGTTTTCAATAGGTTTGAGATGAATGCCACATGCTACCAGGTGAGTTTTCTGCTCCTCTACCCGCCCTTTTTACTATTTCGATATGTAATTGGAGACATAAATGAAGTAATATCAATATTCTAATATTAATCTCGACAGGGTTCAATGTAAGTGCTCAATTAAAATTCTAAGTCTTTGGCTTCCTAAACCCCTTTCTAACGCTTGGTTGCCCAATTGCTCCAGCTTCATCGAGGAAAACAACGCATATAAACTTGCCCAGAAGCAGTCACAGAGGAACCAAAAGATGCCACCCGGCGTTCCTTCACAGGATATGATGGCATTTTGGGGTACGAAACTCCCACCTGGAATGCATGCGGAACTAGATGGCAACTTGATCAACTAATGCCTCGCGGCATCCTTCCAGGTTATAAATTTGAAACGCTATCTCTTTTGGATCAGCCATGGGACGCTACACCTCGTGAAAAGATTGAGGGTCGCGAAGACCAAGTTGTCAACAATAAAGCACAATACTGTTCCGTCGTTCGCACAGGGATAGGGGGATGCAAAATTGTCCTCGGTGGTGAAGTTGACGCTGGTGAGACTAATTCCAAAAATTCCCCCTCTCAATAAATCGTCAAACAGAGACAGATTTTACAGAAAAGGGAACGAATTTCCACGGAAAACTAACAGAAGATAAACTACAATAAAAATTGTTAGTATGGGACAGTAAACCCGAGAGAAAAGAAGATCCCATAAACTGGGTCGAGTTAAAAACCTCTGCCGAAATCCGCAACGACAGAGATATGTTCAAATACGAGCGCAAGTTGCTTAAATTCTGGGCCCAATCGTTCCTTCTCGGTGTGCCTAAAATCATCGTCGGTTTCCGCGATGAACATGGTATCCTCCGCCGGCTGGAAGAGATGGCCACTCGTGATATACCAGGGCTAGTTAGCAGGAAGGGCAAAGGCACTTGGGATGGGAATGTTTGTATCAATTTCACGGCAAAGCTTTTGGAATGTAAGTGGTTTGAATCAGCGCTAAAACTATTGTTTAGTTCATTTTTCAATGAGGTATTATACACTGGGTATAGGCTAATTATTTCGATAAAAACAAGGGCTCAAACTCGTAATCAAGGATGAGGGATTATGGAGAATCCGCCGGCAGGAGAAATCTCCTGTTATTGAGGTTTTTAAGTTGGAGGATTCGGGACATGGAGGAATCCTTTCTCAGGCCTTTGTTGACTGGCGGTCTACAAAGTGAAAACTGAAAGCAATACAGGCTTTGCGGCGATAGACACATGGTTCAGCAGTTCAACATCAGGCCGCAGATTTGACTAGTTGTCTACCTATATCCCTCATCAATTGAGAGGGGTCCCGAATGCCCAAGTCGGCCCAAAACTCACGAATCCTATTTAATATTCGCTCGCCAGGAATGTCCAAATCGAAAATCGAGCGAAGGGGCGAGGTCAGTGGTGTACGAGGCTGACCCACGCGCCGTCTCTAAGCCGATACGGCGCCTTGGAGCCTAAAGAACGAGGCAGTGGGACTATGAATCAAAGTATGCATAAGAAATATTTCATCCATACAGCTGCAGGCTCTTTTCATTTGGACGTCCCTTCAGGTTTGCGCTCCAAGACGTGGACGTGGCGTCAGATAGACTAACAGTGATTGCGATATCATATCGGGCCTATTCCTTTCTCTATTCTTTCTATGGTGTTGTCGACAGAAAGGGATATGGAACCTTGTGTATTTGTAACTATTGATTGCGTTAGACATGTTTCTCATAAGCTGGCAATGCTATGCACGTTGAAACATGGATAAATATCAGATATGCGTATAGCTCACGATTACTTAAAGGTAAAAGAAAGAAAGAAAATCGTATTGAAAACTAGGTGCTTGCATGCAGATATTTTTCCTATTCTGTACCAATTCCCTATGCAATCTGCTATCTACCCTCAATTATTGAGATCTTTAACCGAAACCAATTCCATAATCCATGGGTATCACAGCCAAAAGATATATTCGCCCATCCAACACGCTATATGCATCAGTATAGAATAAAATAAGAAAGTTCAATCCGCCGAAAAAATAACAAGAAAATCACTTGTCCTTGCAGATGCCCTCATCCTCACCGTTCCCGTTCCCCGTCCCCTGAGCCACCTCACCACCCGACCCCTCATCCAAATTCCGATCACCATCCATAGCGCCCTTATAAATATCCCCCTTCTCCCTCCTTGCCTCAAAATACTCATCCTTTGCCCTCCTCTTCTCCGCACTCTTAACAGCCCTCTTATGCCTCCTCCCCTTAACATGCACCTCCCACTGCTCATCCGACTGCACTGTGATCCCACATACATCACACGTCGAACACTTATACACAGTCCTCTGACGAGCCCTTTCCTCCCCCTCCCCTTCTCCCGTCGCCACGGGACTCCGCAGCTGCGTCTCGAAAACCTTCCTCACAGACTCCGAAAGCTCGCGGGGATCCGGACACGCCTCAGCACCTCCGGATAAAAACGCCTCCACGACACGTTCAGCAGGCTCGCGCACGTCGCTATCCCAAGCGCCGGGATTGGCACTGACGTCCGTCGAGTCTAAAACGTATAATTGCCGTGAAGAATGGGCGTCTGTTAGGGCATTCCATAACCGGCCTCTGATCCATCGTACCTGCTGGCGGTAATAGTGTCGAGTAGCTGACTTTATGGAGTTGAGACAGGATTGTTTTAAGCTGGCGAGTTGTTCGGGGGTTGGAACTGCGATACTTGTACTATTATCAGCGCTGTCACTGATAATATTCCCCACGCCGGCGCCGGTGGGGTGGGAGGCGGAGGGGGCGGAAGGCGGAAGTGCCCGGAAATAAGGCTCCAGCTCCTTAAAGCCTATGGACACCCAGACGCCACGCGTGCGATCTATCTCAACCCCTTGTGCCCTTTTCTCGTTGAGGTAGTTAAACAGTGACTCCGCCTCTGCGACGAGGCCCTGCTCGGCCATGTTATCGACGCGCCGAGAGAGCCGGCGAGTTAGTTCTTGGTCTTCAGTATGGACCCAAAATAGAAGTGTCGGAAAGCGCAGATGGCCAGCGCCCGCGAAGGCTGGTGAAATATCGGTGGCAGTATTTTCTACATCCGCTAACTCCTGTGGGATGTTGGCAGCATCTTTGAGTTTTTGCTGTTCCTGGTAAATCTCTGACGCAGGTCTGCCAGTCTGCAGATAGATCTCCAGCGAGCGGCATATTCTGCGCGTGTCATTAGGATGCCAGCGGCTCGCCATTACCGGGTCCACTTCCCGTAGTTTCTGCAATATCACCTCTGGAGCCGCATTTAGAATGGGAAAATCTTCAGATCGCCGAGTAGCAGCATCTATCGGTTCACTCTCCCCATCCATCAACAACTTCTCCTCGTCACCACTCCTACCAGTTTCATCACTCTCCCCACCGCGATCCAAGATAGCTTCCTTAAATAGGACTGCCTGAGTGTAATAATGCGTCCCACCAACAAGAACGGGCAGCTTCCCCCTCGCCCTGATTTCCTTGATGATACGTAGACATTCCCTTTTGAAATGGCTAATGCGCCAGGGCTCCTGGTCAAAACCTATACATCCAAGAAGATGATGCGGGATGCCTTGCCGTTCTTCAATGGGGATCTGGTTGGTGATGATAGGCAGCCCCCTATACATCTGCATGGCATCGCCATTGATGATCTCACCGTTGAAACGGGTGGCAAGGTCGACGGCGAGCTGTGAGGCGGGATTAACTTATTAATCTTTTACAATATAATTCTATTGTTTGGCAGGCATCACAATTGATATAAAGGATATATTTTATGCATATAAAAGCAATTGCCAGCTTGGCTTTTGGTTCATACCTTAGATTTTCCAGTTCCCGTCGCGCCGATGACGGCAATGAGGGGTTCTCCTGGGACTCTAGAAGACATGCCCAGCGACCAGACGAACCTGAGCATCAGGATTTGGAATTTTTCATATTTTAGTTGTTGATTTTTTATCGGGGGATAGACGACGTTCAGTTATCAAAGACGCCTGAGGCTAAAAAATGTTAAACGAGCTGTATTTAACCCGTCGTATTAGGGTGTATTTATAATACAACAGAAACGCAGAGCAACACGGAGTAGCTTCACCCTTTCAATATCTATTTTCTATAATATATAAATTTATCAAGATAAACTAAACGATCTCGAAGATGTAGTAATCAGCACAACATAGACATTTTCCTACTGTAGTTTCAAAGAATAGAACTGTAGAACATAGCCTCTTGAGTGAGTACAATACACAGCCATACCGTATAAATACATGACATCCCCCCTCCGCCAGATATCGGATATCAGATATCATTCATTCTACTTACTATATTACATACAACGACTTCAATTCCTCTCAATATACCTGTAGAAACTAGCAGTCCGAATAGACACCCCATTCGCCTCTCAGCAATTCTCAACCTGCCATCAACATTAAAAATAATAGCCATCCCGCAGCCCCCGCCCTCTCCTCTCCTTCCCGGGCCTCATGACGCCATCCAGTCCCAATACCTCTATCCAGGTCCGCGGTCTCAACTATAAATTTGCAGATGGCACTACTGGCCTGACTGATATCTATCTCGATCTCCCTAAGGGCAGCCGAACCCTACTGATTGGCGGTAAATATCCCTTTCCTTTTGAGAATTACTTCCCGTTTCCACCCCGCACCCCACCCCCGCTTAAACACATACAGGTGCCATAGACATATATACAAACTAGCCACCGAGTTTAAACTATTTACTAACAAATCTATCCCCCTTCTGGTGGGAAAAAACAACACAGCCAATGGCGCCGGCAAAACCACCCTTCTCCGCCTTCTCTCCGGCAAACGCCTCGCCCCCCACGGCACCGTGCTAATCGGCGGCATAGACCCGTTCACCACAGGTCTCGAAGGCGTAACCTACCTAGGCGTCGAATGGGTTCTGAATCCCATAGTCCGCACAGATATAGACGTGCCTACCCTCTTAGCCTCCGTCGGCGGTGACGCATACCCAGCCCGCCGCGACCAACTCGTCCGAATCCTCGACATAGACCTCAACTGGCACATGCACGCTGTCTCCGATGGGGAACGACGCCGCGTACAACTTGCCATGGGCCTGTTACGGCCCTGGACCCTGCTCTTACTTGATGAGATCACGGTGGACCTGGATCTGTTGAGCCGGAGTGAGTTTCTGGGGTTTCTGAAGCGGGAGACGGAGGAGCGGGAGTGTACGATTGTGTATGCTACTCATATCTTGGATAATCTGGCCAAGTGGCCGACGCACCTAGTACATATGCATTTGGGCCGGGTGAGGGATTCGGGACCCATTGAGAAGTTTGAGATGGGGAAGCAGGTTTCTGGTTCCGAGAATAGTCGGTTGGGAGAGGTGGTGTTGGAGTGGTTGAAAAGAGATTTGAGGGAGAGAGGACCACGGCCGGGCCTACCGGGAGAGGGGAAACAGCTTCCGGTTGAATAATGGGAGGCCGATATAGAGGGTATTGGTATTTGCAAAAACGGGGCACTTTTTCCTATAGCTATGCTTCATGTGGCGCATTATGCTTTCGTTGTAAGTGAGTTTCAACCACCATAAGCTCATTTTACTGTATATTTGGGACTTCGGATACTGATGACTGGGAAGGCCTTTTTAGAGCTTCAAAGAAGGGAGGCAGGCCTCAACGCCAAAAATATATCCAGGAAAAATTTCTATGTTCATATATAAATAGTTATTGTCCATGACACATGTGACACATTCATTTAATAACATTCCCGTTGGCTATGGAAACAAATCCAAAATCTTAAAAACCCGCACTGAGCTATCCTCACTCGCAATAGCAAGTTCATACCCTTCATCCGCTTCTTTTACTTCTGCACAGACTGGCTTCCATGCCAACTGCGTAATAGCCTTCGATGGACACTCCAACCCCGGCAACGCCATCCCCTCCTGAACCTCCCCAAGCCCATCAATCGCAAATGCATGCAGGCTAATCCTCCCCGTATCCAAACCGACAGCAAGATAAAACCGATCCCCGCCAACAACCTCAGATAGGAAATCAATAGCCGTAACGGGACTCGTAAATGAAATGGTAGATTTACACGTAAAAGACACCCCCTGGTTCTCTTCCTGTTCCTGCACCCATACCTTCACGGTCTTATCCCGTCCCGCCGTCGCAAACACTCTGGGCCCACTGCTCCCAATAACCGGCGCCCAACTCGCATCCAAGATCATCCTCGAATGACCCCGCGGATTCGCGCACAACAACTTAAAAACCCCCCTCTTCTCATCCCCCTCTTCCTTACCTTCCCGCCTCCAAACCGCCCACTGTCTATCCCTCCCCACACTAACCAAAAACTTATCATCCGCCGAAAACCTTAAACAAGTAACAGTCAACGAATGCGCCGCCAACGACGGCTTGATCTCATGCCATGTCGTCGCTGCAGCGTCGTATAGGCGTATAACGGCGTGGTCCAGCGAGCTGGCTTTGCAAGCTGTAGCGATGAGCGTGCCGTCGTGGCTGGTGGCGAGGGCGGAGATTTCGTAGCCGTGGCCATAGAGCTTTTCGTGCTCAGGCCAGAGGGTGTATTTTGAGAGATGGTCTTCGAGGGGTGGGTGGGGGAGGTGGAGAGCAGAGGCTTGTGGGGTTGCTTCCGGTGCGGGTGCGGATTGGGTATCTTCTCCTCCTTCGTCGGCGAGATCTACGTCGTCGTCAGCGGCTTTGTTGGAGAGGCCAAGAACGGGGATGTTAGCGGCCTCAGGCATGTCGGCCGGCTTGACTCCGCCGGTGAAGCCGGTTAGATTCTCGAGGAGGTTTGCGATTGCTTTTGTCTGGTTGAAGACGCGGAGAAGCTTTTCATCAGCGCCGGAGACGAAGCGCCATGGTCCCAATGAAGCAATGCAGTTAAGATCGTAGCCGTGGATCTGTGGGCGGGAAAATTCATGCCATGAGTAACAGCACCCGTTGTCATTGCCATGTTTCCACCTCGCATGTAGTCTCGTAGTCTGATCTGAACTCGTCGACAGCAGGTAGCCCCCACTTGTAGGCTCCCATTCAATCCCATTAACCGCTCTCACATGGCCCGTAACAGCGATGTTCTGTACCCACAAATCGGACTCGCTCTCATGCTCCCACAATCTCCAAGAACCTGTGCGGCCCAGGCTGACCACCGTATCACCACGGGATGACCAGAGGCCGATCCAGAACCCACCAGTGCTGCCCGTGGCGGTGGTAGATCCCTTCTGAGAGCTAATCTCACCCATGCGCGCGGCGGAGTACCAGACACCAGATACCGGGTCCGATTCCCAGATAACGAGCGAGTTATCAGCAGAGGCAGAGAGGAGCTTTGGGTTTTTTGGGTCCGGGTTCCATGCGACGGTGTAAATCCAGTCCTCGTGGCCGAACAGGAGAGCTTCGAAAGTAACCGAATACTTCGATCCGCTCGCCGCGAATTCATGCGCTTTGTTAGAAAGCGTCTGCTCGAGGTTCCCTCCCAATATTACCCCTTCATCGTCATCGTTCTTTCGAGCCGGGAAAACATCATCGCCTGTATGAACGCGCCAGAGACGAATGTATTTATCCTGACTAGCAGATGCAAGGAAGAAATCCTGAGATTGCGATTGTGATTGTGACTGTGACTGACTCTGCTCAACATCCATATCTGTAAAAGCAAGAGACCTCACCCAAGCCTCATGACCGGTAAGATTAGCTTTAAGCTCGAACTGACGTGCCTCCGTTTCCGCATCCCCTCCCCCGTCCTGCATCACATATATCTGTATCGCAGTCCTCGTTCCGCCCACAGCCAACACCATAGGTGGCGCAGACCCGGCATCCTTCCCCCCTTCTTCTTTCTTCCCGCGAAGCGCCCTCAATGCGAGCGTCAACGCGAAATACCTCGGCTTCAGCGTAATCGTTTGCATTAATTGGCCGTCTATCGTTGAAGCAGCAGCACCACTGTCCCCCTTAATCTCTCTAAGTCTCCACACCCTCACCGTCCCATCTGCGGCGCCAGATACAAACAGCCCAGAGCCGCGCGCGACATCAATGCAATTTATGGCACCGTCGTGGCCGTCGAGGGTTGCAACGTGCGAGAATGACGGTCTTGTTGGAGTAGATGTAGCTTTAGATGGAGCGGTATCAGATTCATGATTATCCTGCCGCCGCCAGACCCGTATCGTCCGATCTGCGGAGCCGGTGAGGAGGAAATGGTGAGAACCACCATCTGAGCAGGGAAACGTGTAGAATTTGACCGCGTTGACTTCATCAGTATGGCCGTTTAACAGAGCATATACCCCCGTTTTATATTTGTCCTATTCGCGCTCCAACAGAAAAAAAGCAAATTGTAAGAATATACACTATACTATATTTGTTACAATTGACTCAAGCAGCAAGAAATATTAATAAGGGCATACAGTAGGATCCCAGAGGGCCACATTGTTATCAGCGCCAAAAGCGAGAATTCCCGTGTTCTCGTCCCAGTCCGCGGCGGAGGGATGTCTGTTTCCGCCAACGGAGATGTATTCGGTGAGGGCAGTGAGGGTTGAGGGCGCCATGGCGCTGGCGGCTGGATTGTTGTCTAACAGAAGGAGATGGCTATTATTATATCTCCATGTATGTCGATTTGCGCCTGAAGTTCGTTTAACTAGGTTGTTGGGTTATTCTTGGTGGTGTTATTTATGTATTCCATTTGTCGATGGTTGGTGTTGGAAATTTCAGCCCAAACCTTTTTCCTTATCGATAAGAAAATAATTCCCCGCAACAAAAAAAAAGAACATCCCATACATTATTACTTTAACATCACTCACTCTAGGTCCTAGGTCACCAAACAATTTCACCACCTTAACATCTCTTTTATTCTCTATTTATTCATCTGTAGATATACCCGGCAAGCAAACAGTTATCATGGGCTCCATAACCACTCCATCTCCCTCCCAGTCCCTCTCCATCACGGTAGAATTCAGGTACGATTCCAAACCCCCTCCTGCTCTCCGTCTCCCATTTCCCCCTCAGTCCACAAGCTAACATAGATCCATACCCTTATCCTAACACAGTGGCGGTCTCGAATTACTCTTCGAGAACAAACGAAAACACACCCTTTCCATTCCCGCCACATACCCGTCCCCGTCGAGCGGGGAACCCGAGCCAACATCCATAACCTCCCTCGTCCACTACCTAATAGAAAATCTCATGAAGGATCAGCGGCAGGAGTTATTTGTGGTCGATGGGGCTGTGTAAGTAGATACCCTCTATATATTCTCTTTCCGTCCTCAGAATATGGTCGGTTGGTTATCGGGCGTGTGCATCAGTATTATTAATACAGGGATATTTGAATTTCTGGCTAATAATGGCGGGGATGTAATTCCTTATCTACATATAAATTTAGACGGCCTGGGATCCTCGTCCTAATAAACGATGCCGATTGGGAATTAGAGGGCGAGGAGAAGTATCAGATTCAGCAGGGGGATAATATATTATTCGTCTCTACGTTGCATGGCGGGTAACGAGGGATGGACAAGATAATTCTTCGCTGTTGTTCAAAGTAAGAGGAGGGAAATCAATATATCAAGGGAAAAAATATGTTTCTTTCTTTTCTATATTATAATCCAAGCCAAACGAAACGAAAACGCGAAAAACAAAAGGAAGGAATGAACACTCATGTCAGACATCAAGCATCAGTTATCGATCATCAAACATCAAACATCACGCATAAAAGAAATGCGTGGGAAATACTGGACAACATATTCCATCATCCCATAGCTTCATCATCGAAAGAAGAGCATTCAGCCCAGCACACACTCACAAAAACAAACGCCCAAACCCTAAACAACATCCTCCGCATGATGTTGCAAAATCTTCTCTCCATCCCTCTGCGGCCTGAACCCACCTGCCGGAGTGGCTCCGCGCGGGATACTCAGTCCCGCTGTACCGACACCACTATTTTCACCCCCACCGCCACCATCGCCGTTAGTACTCCCATTCCCATTCCCGTCCAACCCACCAGGCATCGGAGAGACAACTCCACTCGGTGGAACAGGTATTTTGATATCCTCTGGCGATGCGGGGATAATCTCCGGAGGGAGATCGGGGATATGTATGCGTTTCGCTTTGTTGTTGTAGCTTGCTGGGATGATCTTTTTTGTTTGAATATGTTAGACGTTGTGTGCCATGCATATACGAATATTATCAAGGGTTCTAGGGGGGGAAAAATGTTTTACGACATACCTCAATAATCTCATCGCGCGGAAATGACAAGAACGGGATATCTGCAGCATTACAAGCCATCAGATACCCATACAGCACACGCAGGACACTCTCATGCGCAATGATAAGTAGGTCATTCCGCTCCCGTTCAAGTTCAAGGATAATCGGTTCAAGACGCACGGCGAGGTCATGGTACGACTCAGCCCGCGGGTACCGATGATGATACGGATCCATCTCATGCTTTGCAACCTCATCAGGATACTCCTGCCGAATCCTCCTTTCGGACATCTTCTCACAGACACCAGGGTTCAACTGGCTCATCTGTGACCGATGGCGTATTTTGTAGCCCCGTTCGAGTAGGAATTGTGCAGTCTCCACTGTCCGGCGCCGGGTGGATGTCCACACCGTAAGTGGTTTCAACTCCGTGTCAGCATCATCACCCTGCTCAGCGATAAGTGCCTGTCTCTCTGATTCACGGTGCTGCAGGAGTCTCTCGGTCATTTTGCGAGCATAGTCCAGTCCTTGTTCGGAGAGGGGTGCGTCGGTTTTGTAGGAGTTTGGGTCCAGGCAGGTTCCAGCCTGAGTTGGTTTCGCACTGTCAGCCAAATTATCATGTCCAGAGGGGAGACGTAGTATTAAAGCTTACCCGCACGAAATATGTATGTCGTGATTTGTTATGTAAATTGAGCAGGTAGAAGACAATCCGGTGGTGCAGGTAGCCGAAGGAGCGGTTGTTGATCATCATGCGCTCGCCGGCGTTGATCATCTACCTTGCATGTTAATATGATGCTCACCTTTAAGTAAGGAAAAACATGAGAGAAAGAAAAACAATTCAGGAAGGGATGGTGAAAGGAGTGCCGGCGTAATTACCAACCTTGATATAATTCAGCTCCGATTCATTCATAGTCTGAAACTGCGGTATCCGAGCCGAGATTCGCGCCAGATAATCTTTTACAGCATCCTTGGGGTCCCATCCAACGTACTGTCATCATAAAGAAAACTCAGCAAACTAGTTTCAGCACACCCAGCGAGGTACATGTATGGCACGACAACATACGTCTGGAGAAGATATCTTTACGCTCAGGACATTTTCTTCAATTATCCTCTCATCATCACACAGCGACTCGATGAATAGTGTCTAGAGAATAAGTGAATGTTAGTATGCCTGCCCATCATATAGCACTATACCCAGCGCATTTTTCAGGGGTCTTACATCAATGTCATGCTTAGCGAATTCCTTTGCTAGGGACCGACGACCAGCGGCAATTGGGTTCACAGCGTCGTATATGGCAATCTGGCCGTTCTCGTGGTTTAGGAAATGATAGATGTCTTCTCTACACTTTTTCACAATTTTTTGTCTGAGGAGGACGGACGAGGCGGATGCTGTAGAGTTTTGCATTGTCAGAAAGGTCTTATCTAGCAGCTCTAGCAATTAAGGGGGGAGAAAAGGGGTACCAGAATGGATGTATAGAGGGAAATCAACAATGATAATACTTTAGCGTTCACTCACCGTTGACAAAGAAGTAATCATCAGGAACATCCTGACCAGGCCCGACAGTCGCACGTCGATAGTCGCCCAGATGGAATATCCGCGTCTTCACACCGAGCCTATATATATCGGCTAGGTCAGCTCACTAACAGTTAAGTTGAGGATAAATGAATCAATGGAAGTAAACACGAACCATCTGAGGTACCGTGCAAGCGCAACAGATATGTGTCTAGAGTCAAACCGAGGAGAGTTAGCTCACTAAATTCCTATTAAAAAGAAACAAAAAGAAGAGATGAGGGCTTTACGAACGTTTTGCCCCTAGCTGGCAAGCCGACGGTGATGATTACTATACGCCCGGAGTGGAAGAGGCGTCCGGACTCTGTGCTGTAGAGCTGAGCGGGGGCAAGCTCGCCTGTCTCTGGAAGATCATGGATGGCGTCGACGGAGGTGCTCGACTTTTTCTGGAAGCGGGGAGAGGTTGCGACGACATCCGCTGTCCTAACTAGCTAGTTAGAGGACTGGAATTATATATCTAACCGTGAGGTGGTAGGTCAAGAGGAATAATAGTGGTAGGTCAAGAGGAATAATAGTGGTAGGTCAAGAGGAATAATAGTGGTAGTGGGAGCTTCATACAGGAGTGTGTCCATGCTTGACGTAGTGCTGATCCTGACCTCACAAGAACAGAGGGAATGGGATTTGGATCCCTGATATCTGGTAAGATATGCTTGGGAGGACAATGTAGGTAGAGGATGTATATATATATATATGTGTGTGTGTGTGTGTGTGTATATAGATAGAGAGAATAGATAATAGTGTATGTCACTTGGGGGAGGGGGATTTACGGCAGACTCCCAGCAAGCGTATATAGATAGATAGCAGCCAGCTAGGGCCAGAGCCGGAATAGAGCTTCAGCCCAACAACGAACAGTTCTTATCCGCAGACGAGAACGACAGCCAACAACAGCGACATTTCCAACAGACGCAGACGCAGACGCAGACACAGACACAGCCCAGACGCAGGCTGACGAATGTCCTTGTCTGTATATATCTCTCTCTGTTATGGATATTCCGTCTCCCGGTTGGGGTTGGGGATGGACGGGGAGCGCCAAGCCTGACATGAACCGAGGGGGGGCGCTAGTCCCAAAGTGCACTAGTGTATCAAAATGTTCAAACCTTCCAACTTCGCTCTATAATTTCCTAGAAAGAGAACCTGGAAACAATATCACCATCCTCCGAGCAAAGGTTCTGTTATACGCCAATAGCTCCATTGCTCCCGGGCTGCCTTTACTACTGAGACCTTTCTATTTTATTTCGCCTCATTCCCTTCTGTTCACTGTAGAGGCGGCCCTCGAATTCCTTTTTATTTTTATTGTCTTAAATTGAACCCTCCGTGTCCTTCCCGCCCAATATGTCCGACGCCCTCGCTTTCCTCTCAGATAACTCTGTAGTCGACGCCCTCAAAGATGCATATAGTTCATTCTCCGCCCGAAGGGAAGCGCTGGGCTTGTCCAATCCAGGAACCGTAGAGAATGTCTCCAGAGAAGTCCAAAAGGATGTCCTGCTCTCCAATTTCATGTTCACAGGCCTCCGGGCAGATCTGACAAAGGTCTTCGGCATGTCTCCTCTTTTCCGCGTCTCCCACGCCTTCACAATGGGTTCGCAGCAAGGAACCCTGCCTCCGTATGCCTTTTCTTCCATGTTCGGATCTCCTAAGGTATGTACCAAATCCACCTCGCATCTGTAACAACTTTCGTGTTGGGGTATCGGAGATAGATCTAACGGTGGAAAAAGGTCTTCCTACAAGGAAACCTCGGTAGTGATGGAGCCCTTGCCGCCGTCGCCAACTACAGATGGAACTCCGCATGGGTTACAAAGACAAACACACAGATAATGCCCGGAAGTGCGCAGGGTTTGATCCAGATTGACAACGACTACACCGGCGCAGACTTCTCTGCGTCTCTCAAGGCCTTCAACCCATCCTTCCTAGAAGGCGGCATCACCGGAATATTCGTCGGAAGCTATCTTCAATCCGTCACCCCGAGCCTCGCATTGGGTCTTGAGGCCATGTGGCAGCGACAGGGCCTCAGCGTCCCGCCCGAAACTGCTCTGTCCTATTGCGCCAAGTACAAGGGAGATGATTGGATTGCCAGTGCCCAGCTTCAAGCTCAAGGCGTCATCAATGCCTCGTACTGGAAGAAGCTGTCTGATAAGGTTGAGGCCGGCGTTGATATGAACCTCCAGTTCGCCCCTAGCCCCTCGGGATTGATGGGTGACATCCGCAAAGAGGGCACCACGACTGTCGGAGCCAAATACGAATTCAGAGCATCTACCTTCCGCGCACAAATCGATAGTGCTGGCAAGCTGAGCTGTCTCTTGGAAAAGCGCGTCGCCATGCCTATCTCTTTGACTTTCGCTGGAGAGATTGATCAAGTCAAGGTATGTTTCCTACATGTCGTCAAGTGGTAGAAATTTATGGCAGAGAAAAAGCAATCCCAGCTAACCGAATCTATTACTATCAACAGCAACAAGCCAAGATCGGTCTCGCCGTCTCCTTCGAAATGGCCTCGGAAGAGCTGATGGAGCAGCAAGAATCCGGCGAAATGCCCAACGTTCCATCCCCGCCATTCTAAGTTTGAAAAGCCCCGATGCATTCCCGTCCAATCGCATGACATGAGAAGGACAAGAAACTAGATGACCAAAAAGCAAGACAAGGAAAACAAATCCTAATCGCAATGCTCCTCTACACGACCCTGCTCCTATCATCATCTCTCCTTTCTGCTACCAACCTCCGAAAACCACCCCCCTTCACATCTCACCACCGAATTAACCTTCCCCTTCCAACCCCGTGTTTTAATAGCTCTATCATATCTTCACTCTTCGTCCCACACACCATCTACACCCCACATCCACATCTATCTACGTGTACATCTATCCACCCGTCCCAAATCCCTTAGCAGCATTGTGGGTAACTGGCGCAGAAGTGAAACGCCTCCACCATCCACACTTCTGATTCTCGAGACCATTATTTTTTAAAGAGATTTCGTCATTCTGCGCGTGTCCTTTGTTTCATTTTATTTTTTATTTTTTATTTTTTTTCCCCGTCTTCCTTTGCCGTTTTCCATTGTCTACTTCTTTTTTTTTGTGTATATCCGAGATGGCTTGAATTACCTATCCCTAGGGGCTAGGGACTAGGGACTAGGACAGCAACAAAATAAAAAGATATAATCTATTTCCAAGAAACCATTTCCATTTCCATCTGTTCATTACGATTTCCAATATTCTATCTATAGACATGTTTCCCCTTCCGTCTTTTTATCCCCTCCGCTTCCCATTTCCCAATGGTGGTTTTGGTTTCTGCTTTCGTCAGCTGTTTCTGTTTCTGTGTCTGCGTCTGTGTCTGTGTCTGTGTCCGCGTCTTGGGTGCGCGTACGTATTTCCCTCCGTCCGTGTGTCGCGCAATTGTCCCGCATCCATGATTCATCGCCTGTCGTGTTCCTGAAACGCCCAGTCTTTACTCCATGCTCCCTAACGTCGAATACATTCCGTATTGTCAAAAGGGCGAGTTCAGCCTGGATTGATTCAGTGAAAGAATCCAGCTTATGAGCCTACCTCCCTTCTCCTCCGCTTTTCTTATGCTAGCTTACGTTTTGAAGCGGGAAACCTACCCCATCCAGACATCCACTATATATAGGCTCCGTAAAAGACAAATGCAGTTTCGTGCCCGTCAATTCCGCCTTTTGGGATGATTTTGGATTGAACTGAGGAGAAAGGGAGGACCGCTTGAGGAGTAAAAAAAAAAAAAAAAAAAAAAAAAAAAAAAAAAAAAAAAAAAAAAAAAAAAAATAGAAAGAAAGAAAGAAAGAAAGAAAAAGGGAAAGGGGCAAGAACCTTTTGTCCGGTGTAAAATATTATAGTTCTCTCCTCAAGTTAAGTACGGCAAAGAATTAGACGAAATAATAATATATGATTAGCGCTGGGGGTTTGAATCCACATCCAACCAATCCTTTCAACATAGATATTTAGGACAGACAGCTCTAGCAATAATGGGTTTGGGTATGGTATGCATATCAGGATATACCATTGAACCGCCATTAACTTACTCCATATATCCCCTCTGTCGTAGTGGAAACATTTGCCCGTACAGAACAAGTGACGTAGCAACGAGCACGGGTGGACGGATGGACGGGGGTGCTCAAAGCTCTGTACTCCGTAATGTAAAAGCAAACTTCCAATTGTAAGTTAGGGTGTAAAACTCCAGCTTAAAACATATATATATATATATCACCGAGATTATATAGTTTACATAGTTAACTATCTTTATTAATGCAAATTGCAGTTCCTCAGGCTGTGCACTGCCCTACAGGGTAAGAATATATCAGCACAGCGAGCACAAAAGCAAAGAAAGAAACACGAATTCGAAGCTTGACAGATGATATATGATGATATGATATTCATTTTCCCCCGCCGTACAACCAGGCTGTTTCGCGATTTATATTAACAGTAGAAAACCGTGAGATGAAAGAAGGAAAGAAAAGAAAGAAAAAGAGAAAGGAAGAGAGAAGTAAAAAAAAAAATAAGAAGAAAAAAAAAAGAAGAAAAACCGCTTTGAGCTTGAAACCGACCTCCTGCCAATCCCTCATTATGCATGCATGCAACCTCTATGAGCTATATAAGCTCGAACCCCCAGGTTGGGCCAGGCATAAATCATACAAGCTGTGCCCCCCAACAACCTATTACCTATATATATATATATGAAGCCTCGCATGACCACTATTCCGGTATCAATAGAAGGGGGGGGCAACCGATCCGTGACCCCGTGCAGGATTTCAATTGAGACCTGACATGCATGCGCTTTACATGGTGTGTCATCTCGGTCTTGGATTCGACGGGGAGAGAGGGAGAGACGGGAAAGAGAGAAGAAGAGAAGATGAGAAGAATGTGGGAAGCGAAATTTATTTGAAACAAGCCCTAGCGTAGTTAGTTAGTCCTCTTTTGACTCTTTTCTTTACTTCTCTTTAACTTCTTTAGGCAAGCTGTGGTGGTTCATTTTGGGAATTCGAACGTGGAGAGGAAATGAAGCCGGGGATATGCCGGGGGGGGGGGGGGAGGAGGGGATATATATATTATAATATACCCTTTTCTCGCCCCGCTCACCCCCCCAATCCCTTTCCTCCCAAGTAAATATATGGACAAGTGTGTCATATCCCATCTAGCCTGCTTCCAGCTGAGCTCCCCGCTGAAATGGATGTTTCCTCACAACGTCCTTTTTTGTATATCGGCGTGGTATGGCCAATGTCGTAGATGGCATTGGCCCAGAAAGTGCATACTCCCTCTCTCAACTGGCCTCAATAGGACCAGCTAGGATAGGGAGGGAGAGAGAGAGAGGGATAGAGAAACGAGAGAATAATGTTGCTTGTGTAGGAACTATAGGTTAGATTTAAAACCCGACTTCTTCCTGCTGCCTGGCAAGCGCCGCAGTAAATGTATGCAGAAATAGTTGAGACGATGGCAATTGATAAGCTGAACCAGTTTTGTTGCATGATCAATCGATCATTCATTCCTCTCCGTCCGTCTGCACGTATGGAATGTACGTATGTACTGTACATACATACTGTATATTTCTCTATGCTATGTACCCGCTCGATGCCGGAGTGGCAGTACAGCATGATGGAAGTGAGCCAGTATGGTAGCTGTAGCTGCCAAAGGGCAAGGCGAAACGGGGAGATTCGAGATTCCAAGGTTGATGATAGTGAAGGCTGCATGATATAGCTAGAGATGTTATATACCCAGTGTTCAGAGATCGGCCTTTTCGATTCAGTTTCTCCAAATACCTGTCCCCTTTCCTCTTTCCTCAATTGTTGTATGAAGTGGTCCCCAATAATAACTCAGAAGTGCGCATGTCCATCGGCGGGCATGTATCTATCAACCTGCATCAACTGATGTCATAAGCACTGACAACAGTTCACAAAACATAGTAAAGAGGAAAAGAGAAAGGGTTTCCCTCACAAGAAATTAGCATTTTCTCAATGAGGAAACTTGTTTTTGTTATAATTTTATATCTGTTGTCTAGTGGAATG